AATGAAAATATGAATTTGAATTTGAAATGAATATGAAATGATAAATGAAAGACTAAGTTTCGTTTCACAATCTTTGCAGGCATTATAAAATATGTCACATGACTTTATTTTTTTAACTTCATGTTTGTGATTGTTTTGCATTTTATTACTAGGTATTTAATGTAAACAAATCGTCTTCATAAAGTGTAAAAATATTAATAGTAAAGTTGCATACTTTCATGAAAATATAATGCAAATGTTACACACTATGTATCTAAAAACCATTCATAATTTTCCACTGTTTCATCTGATACAGTGACATAAATATTTTGTTGTCTCAAACAAAATTGTTATGTATGTACATGTATAAAACAGAAATTTTGCCTTCTCAGTAGACTCTAGATTTCTTCTTTGTAATATACAAAGTTTCTCGCCGATCCATATTATAAGTAGAAATTAGCTTACTCATAATGGTATTTTTTTGCATGCTATTGCATCTACACGAGCAGGAAATTTGCAATTTGCCATGAATGAAAACTAATTCCATCATAAATATAGAAAATTTTGTTTACCAGATTCATATAAATTCCCTTATAGTTTTATCAAAAATATGAAAGATATTATAACCTTCATCTACCATAAAAAATAACATAGCATTTTATATCGTAATATATTGTATCATTAAATTTGAAAAACTGCAAGTAAAATAACTATTATAAATATCTTTAATGAACAAATTTGATTATAATTCAGCTATGCTTATTAAAGCAACGCGATTTATAAATAAAGCAAATTAAGAATTGTTCATATTATTGACGGTTGGCGGTTTATTATTATAAAACTAAAAAGGAAATTATTATTATAAATATGTTGACTGAGCAAATTTGATTATTATTAAGCTGTGCCAATTTATAGCAGCGCCATTTATAAATAAAGCATCTATATAAATTAAAAATTGTTCATATTATTGACGGTTGACGATTTCTTATTATAAAACTAAAACTAAAAGGGAAATAATTATTATAAATATATGTTGAATGAACAAATTTGATTATTATTAAGCTGTGCTAATTTATAGCTGCGCCATTTATAAATAAAGCATCGATATAAATTAAAAATTGTTCATATTATTGAAGGTTGGCGGTTTCTTATTATAAAACTAAAAGGGAAATAATTATTATAAATATGTTGAATGAGCAAATTTGATTATTACTTAGTAGTGCTAATTTATACCAGCGCCATTTTTAAATAAAGCATCGATATAAATTTATAATTGTTCATATTATTGAAGGCTAACTGTTTCTTAGTGATTACTGGTATTGACGAACAATGATAATCGTTTAGTGATTTTCGAAAATAATAATAATAATAAAAGTTAGTTGCTTGTAATTAATAACGTCAATTACGTCTATCATTTGAAAAAAGAACTATAATCAACTGCCAACATTTTAATTAATAAATTATACTTCGTTACAAAACTATTGACAATGTTTATTTTTTTATAAACTAATTCACTGGGATAAAATGTATGGTCAAAGCAACCAGAATATGGTAATATTTACCGTGCTTTTGACTCTATGAGAACATCAAAAATCGCCGTAATTTTTACAGAAGTGCTTTGGTATTGACTTTTGTTACATTACAATAAAATATGCTTTTATAATATGATTTAAAATTTGATAAATGTAGTAAGATTTGGTAATTTCATCCTGATTCTTTAGAACACGACATAAAAACCATTAATTCAGTTAAATTTGCTTTTCAGTTTTGCATTTCAATTAAATGCGTGGCAATAAGGACTTTAATTTTGAAAACCAGGATCTCCGGTAAAAACATTACCATAGGAGCGGAAAATTTACTAAATGAATGGTTTAAATTTCTAATTTTCTTCATAAAATTGTGTTTTTTTTTTTGTTTTTTTTTGCTTGTTTTTTTTTACCAGAAATGTTTTTATTATTCACTGCGGTAATTTTACTAGAACTTTATTCCCCGTGTGCAAACGAAAATCGAATATAACAATAAAAATTATAAATTAGGGCTTCATATTAAGATTAATCTTCAAAAAATCTCCGGATTTATACGAAGGTTGAAAATAGCTATCCAAAATTATAGTAACTATCGTAATCAAAATTATGGTAAGACCAATAAAACTCTGTAGTTTTGTTTAAACGTAGTTAAAATTACTTACAAAAATTTTACTATTATTTGCGTAATTTGAACTTACTAATCACTAACAGTTAAAACTTTTATCTCAAATGTTTAATTAAGTTTAAACAATCTTAAAGCATAAGGTCCTCGTTCAAATTATTTAAGAGCAGAAAAATCTAGAAGACTAAATGCTTATCTAAATTCCGTCTTTCATTATATATTGCAGTTTTCATGAAAGAAAAAAAATATTTAAACTATTTTTTAAGTAAACACACTTATTCATCAAATTGCTGGAGATCGAATTGCCTCTCTTTCTTTTCTTCTCAAAGCTTGCAAAAATTTATTTAAGACAAATATAAATTAAGGCAAATATAAATTAATTATTTAAAATTTCTTTAAGTCAAACTCTACAAAATTGCACATTAACTCTCGTGTTTTTTTTTGTTTTTGTTTTTTTTTTTCGAAAAAATTAGAGCTTTGAATAAATTTGAATTATATGTAGCCAAATGCCTAAAAATGAATAAAATGAGGATGATAGCTGTTGAATGCTCAGATTTTAATTCACAAAGCTTATAAGCATCTCTAGTTTGATATCAAATTAAAACTTTGAATGATTTAGAAAAAAAAATCACTTTAATCTTTGACAATTTGTATGTTGTTTCGAAATTCGAATAAGTTTACTGCAATGCAAAATTTTGAAAACTATTTACACAAAAAAACTTTTAGGAAGAAAATAACTTTAAGTCATAAATAATACCTAGACTCTAAAACCACATAGCAAAAACTTCATTCAAAAGCCTAGTGAAAAATTGTTTCAAACAATGATAATTGCTTAAGATTTCTCTAATATTTCAATGGCAGATTGCAGATTTCTGTAGCAGAGAAGAAAATGGCTAAGATATTTATTGAATCATGGGATTAGGGTTACAAATACTGACACGGTATTATTAAAAGTTCTGAGAAAAAGAAAAGGAGTTCCATATATAACTCCTTTTAAATGCCAGAACATAAATTACATTTGTTCTTGTTGAAAATACTCTTTTTTCCTAAAATTCACGGGCACTTGTGAAATCGTTCATTTATAATTTGCCTTCCTAATGCACTGGTTTTTCAACAAAAACTTTTGCAGTACTTTTACATAAATAAATAAATGTTTCAGTTAAAATGTGTTGGTGTGCACTTATTCCTTGTATATTTTATGTACTTATTTCCTGTATCATCCTTACATGGTATGGTTCTTTCTATTTTTAGGTAAATACAAGAGAACCAGTTCTGATTAATACAAAAAATATATAATTAAAGAATTGGATGCCTACAAACGACGTCACGCTTGGGTAAATCATGGTATTTGTTAATGCCAAAATTCAGCAGCCAATCAGATTTTACACGCATGCGTTATGTTGCTTGCAGGTATCACATTAAATCTTATCCGAAAATTGATTCAGCGTTATAATAAACTAAGCCAGACTTGGCTGTAACGTTAATACGCAGTGCACAAGCACGTGAATAGGTTCAAGCATATGATTTCAGTCGAATTCTTATTCTCGAGTAACTAGTATTATTCTAGGTATTCTAGAAACCTATTATTCTAGGTAAAATCAATCTTGAAAATTACAACTTCACTGTAAAAAATTTCAGATAAAAATTATGGCACCCTGAAATCCATTTTTACCAGAACATGTTACGGAACAAAAAATCTGATATGCCGTAATGTTTACGGTTATAATTACCGAAAAATTACTGAATCACTCCAATTAAATAAATATTAGAGTAAAAATTACGATATAATATTTTACGGCAAAAATGGATTTTACGAATGATGCACCTAAAGTGCCGGTACTTCATAATCCGGAATTTTCTACAGTGTGCTCTAGATTATGTTAAAATGTAATGATCACAGTAACAGTCTTTGTAAAAAACAATAATAATAATTAACTAAATTAAATGGCATCTTAAAATTTAAAAATAAAAAGAAGCCTTGAATTTAAATTATTAAGGAAAGGATTTTTTGTGTAATAAAATTTGAAATGTTCAGACATTTTTTAAAAAAAAAAAAAAAAAAATCTTGGTTTTAAATATTTTTTTTTAAAAATCTGAATTTTTATTTCCAATATTTTTTACATAACCTGTAACAAAAAAGATTGAACCGAAATTGCACTGTAATTAAAATTATAATTATGGCACGCGCTTTACAATTTTGATTTTTATAATTGTGCTTCAATGAAGCATTCTCAGTTAGAAAGTAAGAAGCCTCAGTTAGTAAGTAGTAAGAGTTGTTTCTTAAGGTAAAAAATATAGTTTCAGTAGAAGTAAGTTTTTTTATAGAGTAACGAATAAAATGTACAAATAATAGAACCCGTACTTATAGTAAAACTTACTTATAGAGCGAATAAAATTTGCAAGTATTTATAGAAAGCGTAACCAATAAAAAATGCTATAATAAATTAATAAAATTTAGTATATTTTACAAAAAATCAAAAACTGAATATTTCATAAACTTTTATTAAATTGTATGAATAAAAAGTTCAATTTTATAATTAATTCAGGAGGACAGATTTATATTTTAGTCAAAATAATCATTTCAAAAATAATACAGATTTATATGTATTTAAAGATACCTGATGAAATTTCATCAAAAATCGAAACAAAATACGACCCCTACGTGTAATTCATGCGTTTAAGATGTATTCATTTGTATACGTCCTATTACATGTTACAAGGGCAAGCTTGAGTTTATTTTAATGAAATGAATTTTTGATCTAAAGTGATGTAGGACCAAGGCCAGATGATGCGATGCAATAAAGTGTGACCCAAGAATAAAGTTATTCTAGCGATAAGTTGTCCACTCAAAATCGCCATGGAAACTAGGATGACAACAGTACAAGAGGTCTTTTGAAAATATCTATTCTTACAATAGTTGATTTTTCAAAGAAAATTCCGTTGAGAATAGCAAATACTTGTAAAAGATTTTGAATTTATGCTTTGCTTTTTTTTCATTCAAGTAACATAGGATTCGTGTGCCTTTCATCTTGTAAAGTATAATCGAATTTTTTTTAATATTTTTAACTTTCTCTATAAAATATGGCGTCGTCTTTGAGTGAAATGATTGCGGCACCAACCATGTCATTGGTGAAGTATGAAACTCCAACGCTCGTGACAACGAAAGATTCTGACACCAAAACTCAACGAGTATGTTTTGTATATTTCATACTTTAAGATTCCATTTATTTTCTTTTAGATTCTAAGTTTATTGAGGTAAACGAATATGCATAATTTCATAAACGTTTTTGAATTTTATTTTAAAAGGAATCGATTCCTATTTTGTTAGATAATTATTTTCTGGAGGGGAAAAAAGTTAAATTTATAAGGAAAGTACCCCAAATGTCACTTGACATTGGTGAAATATGAAACTCCAACGCTTGTGACAACAAAAGATTCTGACACCAAAACTCAACGAATATGTTTTATGTATTTTTTACTTTAAGATTCTATTTATTTTCTTTTAGATTCAAAGTTTATTAAGGTAAACGATTGTACATAATTTCCTAAACATTTTTGAATTTTTTTAAAGGAATTTATTCCCATTTTATTAGATAACTATTTTCTGGAGGGAAAAAAAGTTAAATTTATAAGGAAAGTACCCCAAATGTCACTTGACATTGGTGAAATCTGAAACTCCAACGCTCGTGACAACAAAAGATTCTGACACCAAAACTCAATGAATATGTTTTATATATTTCTTACTTTAAGATTCTATTTATTTTCTTTTAGATTCTAAGTTTATTAAGGTAAACAAATATACATAATTTCCTAAACATTTTCGAATTTTATTTTAAAAGGAATTGATTCCTATTTTATTAGATAATTATTTTCAGGATGAAAAAAAGTTAAATTTATAAGGAATGTACCCCAAATGTCACTTGACAATTAAGCAGAAAATTTGTAGGCACAGATATATATTGAGGCTTGAAAATAACTAATGAACTTTTTACTGTATATTTCAAACTAGCTGTGAAGTCATAGGTTCCTTAAAACAGAAATATTTACTCTAAATATTCAAGGTGAAAAAAATTCAGGTAAAATTATCATGCCATTAGAATGAAATTTCAGCGAAAAGAAGAAAAACATAATTCTGGTTAATAAAGCCAAAATATACTGTATTTAAACCGCTCACTTGTTCCTTTTTCCTCTCTTGAGGTAAAGGTTTAGTGGAAATTTTGAACTTGAAAATTATACTTCTTATTACCACACATTTAGTAAAAAATACAAAACTAAAAGGTTAATTTGACCGAATAAATGGCTTTTATACCATGTTCTAAGGTATCATGGTAAAACTACTAAACTTTATCATATATTACAAAACCACTTTTTATTGTTAATTTCTCTAAATAACAAATCACTTCGACAAAAACTACCGATCTTTTTGGTGTTACTCTAGAGCCAAAATCACGGCAAATTTTACCATATTTTGGTAGTTTTGACAGTATTTTTTCACGTTATGACAATTTTCAAAATTGGTTACTGAAGTTTTAGCTGCAAAGTATTGAAATGTGTAGAGTGTTTAATTGTTTGGCTATACAGAATTTAAGTATTTTACCAGTCAAGTATATCCAAAGATTTGAGTGTTTGCTTTAACTTTCGTTTTAATTCATGCGGTGATATAAGAAATATGCTTTCAAATTTTTCAATACTTGCAAAATATATTTATGAAATTACTTTTACTACAAAATTTATCTTAATATGTTTGATCTTATTCTGAACGAATAAAAAATTTCTATATTTTAAAACAGAACAAAAATTCAGCAGTCGATTCCAGGCTAAGATAGTTTCGTAATCATTTTTTCATTTTATTTTAAAAATGATTTATAATTAAAACAGTTTGACATCCAAAAGACAAATTCTGATTTGGAATAAACAAAACTTTAGCAATTTTAAGTTAACTAATAGCAAACTTTCTTATGAAAACAGGCCTTCTTCAGATAATTCTTTGCTTAAAAAAATTTTATTTTGATTAGTGAAAACCAAAGAACGTCTATTATTTCGTCGAAATTAATAATTTCACTGCTATGATTACATGGTTTTTAAGTCTCCTAAAATATAGTTCTGCCTAAGGAATTTTATTTAATATCTCTCGAAGCCGTAATCATTCTTTTCAAACTTTTTAATCAGATGTTATGCTTTTAATACATTTCAATTTCCAAAACCAAAAAGAAATAGACAAAAAAAATTTAACATCGCAACTAATAAACTCAAAATCTCTAGGTATATAAAATGTCGGCTTAATTTGCAAGTTACACTTAAAGCCCCTCTCTTGTTAGTTTTTTAATTACACACTTTTAACGAGTTAAAGCTTCAAATTATTTATTGAGCAAGAATGAATTGAAAAATTCGGAGCTGTCCCATAGTGTTAAATTATAAACAAAATTTGCTTAAAACTTTGGAGCTAGTTGAAATTTTGAGTTTCTCGGAAAGTAATACAGTTTTTTTTATGAAAACGAAAGATATTTCCATATACTGAATAAATATTTTATCGCATTATTTATTACCCATATAAGTTATTTAATAACACTCTTATTAAACAAATAATAAATCATAAATGAAGTTAAGAAGAATTCATAAATTCGCATTATTTAAACAATATGAAAGACACTATTCAGATTTCGTATTTTTTTGTATTACATTAACTACTAATAACTACTAATAAATACTTAGCCGATAATAATTAGATCATTAAAAATAATAAATTATTTAAACTACCATAAGAAAGAGCTTAAAAAATAAATGCTTTTGAATTTTATTTTGTTTTTCAAAATGATAATCTCACAATACTAATATGAAAAAAATCAAGCCATCATACTTATAATTAGTCTTTTTAATTTCTAAAAAAATGTCTAATCTGCAGTTTTCAGTTTCTATATTTTTCCAATTCTTTTAGTTTGAATAAAATGTTAAATATATTCAATATAAGCCTCTCTTTTTTCAAATTTAATTAATAAAACTTTGAATAAAATGAAAACTGTAGTTCTTTCAATAATATATTAGATACTTAATTATTCTTAATTTATGTGTTTACAACTTACGATTTTTACTTTTAAGCTTTGTTTTGAATATAAATATGATAATCTTAAAGCAGTAACGTATCAAGATAAAAACGTGAATCATTAAATTATAACATTGCCACTAATTACTTGCATAAAATGAAGGAAACATCAACATGAATTAGAAGTTTTGAATAAAAATGATTTATTTCCAATTAATATATTTTGATAATTTTTGTTTTATTATAACTGAAATTTTAACTATAATTTTTAATTATAATTATTATAATAATTATAATTATAACTATTAAAATTACAATTCCTAACTATAATTATTAATTTTAACGATATTTTATAACTGACATTTTTTTCTTATAACTTTTAAATGATTTGTCTTATACAAAGAGACAATTACATAGGGGAACAGATTTTTAGTTGAACTTATACTAGTACTTGATTTAGCCTAATTCGGGTGTGGAGATTTCAAATCTGAAATTATTTATGTTCCTAAAGCAGCAATTTTTTTTTAAAAAGGGACATTTTTATTTATTTATTCCATTTTTTATCCATTCTGTCTATTTTTTGCCGAAATATGTGAGTTTAAACGCGTTATATATAACAAGGGGTAACTTAAATGTTTCGATCGGCAAACTTCTAGGAGAGTTAGAGCACATCATCAGGATTAAAATTGCATAGGACTCTATGCTCATAAATGTCATCATACGCAGCTAGGGGTGCTTATCTATTAAGTTCAATTTTATTGTAATGTTACATATTATGCATATATCACCCCTACCACAGTATGACTGCTCATGAATTCCTTTGACGTTTTAATCATAACATTTTTAGCAACATTTACACAACCCCATGTAACGTTTTTAAGCTTGTGCATTTCGTCAAAAAATAGATTAAGAAATTTATTTTTAAAAAATTGCTGCTTGGAAGGAGAAACCGATGACAGATTTGAAATCAATGACGTAAAAATATCCAATATCCGTTTAAAAATCTTATGCAACAGAGAACAAAGCAAAAATTGTTTCCCAGAGTTATTAATTTTTATACAGAATAATACTCTTCAAAAGCTACTGAGTTCAAAAACTGTATACAAATTTTCGAAGCAATTACAACTATTCAGATTTAGCATATAGCGTGTTCGTTATGCTTGTCGTCAATGACGCAAACCAATCTCAAGTTCATAGCAAGAAGGCGATTCTATCGTTTTGCAGGCACGTGAACCAAAAAATTAATTAATACATTTATCAAAACAACATTCTTTTAAAGTGTACCTGAAATGTCATGCATAGTACCAAAAGTTGACACTTGAAAATAATTTTATTCGTAAAATAATAATTTCTGATTTTCTTTCGAAAGCTCACAAAGCTGCTCAAACGTCAAGACGTGGATGATTTCCATATACGCTCACAAAAGCTATATTTTGTCATTTTCATAGAAAAATAAAAAAGAACAATAAGAGTGCGCATGCTCAAATAAATCCCAGCATGCCCTGAATGCAATTTCAAAGTTTCAAATAAAACTTGCCAAGAGTTAAAAAAAAAGCTCTGAATTATCACCCTGTTCTAAACAATTCATATAACTTAATTATATACTGTTAAAGGCTTCGAGTTACTTAGTATTTAGTATTCAGTTAATATTATTGCAATGCAGTCAAACTCTGCTGTATTGAACCTTCAAGGGACCGAAGTTTCGGTTCACTATAACCGGGAGTTCACTATATCCATACTGCAAACAATTTTAACTAATTTTTCCGAACTACTCCTTTTTATTACACATTGCTCCTTTTTATTGCATTATTTAAATAAATGACCAATAAAAAGAAATACAAAAATGATTAAAAAACAATATGTAGTAACAAAAAATGTGTTAACTTTTATTATTCATTACTCTTCGTCTTGTGTACAAAAAATTTAGGAATGGGAAACTGAGATAGAAGAAGCAAATAGGAAAAAATTCTTATGGCTACATTTCAAACAATAGATAGTTTTAAAAATTGGCAAATGTATTCTATGCCACAATTTCAAAAATACCAAAAAAATTAAGAAAAAAATCAGTCAAAGACAGAAAAAAGTTCATTATATACAATTTCCTATTTCTTTTGGTTCACTATATGCATAAAAAATAATATTATATGTGTATAGCGAGGCACGGAGGGAATATATCGTTCGCTATATCCGGGAGTTCACTATAACTGGGTTTGACTGTATAAGAGATATTTTTAAATAATTTGAAAAATATCCAAGATAGGCATATGATTCCAATTCGACAGTCAGTAAGGAGGAAAGTTAAAATCCAAGTTTCTCTTATAGAAGGATTCCCGCTTACCAAATATCAAAGACAAACCATCTTCTGCTCGCTCCAATCGATCTGAAGGAAAGAGCAAAGACCATCAAGTCGCAGAAATATTGGATACTGTCCTTCCACCAAGGTGATTATAAAACGTTGAGTGTTTGAAGTCTTGTTACAAGACAACTACTGATCCAATTACATTGTAATTAACATTACAAAAATGCATTTACTGTGAAGGTAGCAGGTAATCAATATAGACACATAATCGATAAAACATAAATCATAATCGATTGTAATGAAACATAAATCGATAGATGCATCCTGGGTAATGGTGGGGTTTGGAATCGCTAGCTGGATGCTGGAATAGCCCTGATGCGTATCAATTAAGTTATTGATTTAGTTTAGCTTTTACCAAGTATTAAAACATTTACAAATGCATATTTTTCATAGTTTTAAATGTTGGTAGATGTTAACTTACAGCTCACATGCTAAAGAGAAACAATTAGTCGACTAGAAGGAAAGCTAACTAAATAAAATGAAAGGCATCAAACTGAACAGTTTTGCTTCATCTTAAACTGTACTAGTACTGTTAAAATTATCAACTTAAAGTTAAAATTACCAAATTTTACCCTACCAAACACCTTGGTAATAAAAATCTTGTTTTATTGTTAATTTTCCCAAAATGTAATTATCAAAGCGCTTCGGTAAGAATTACCGTGCTCTTTTGGTGCTCCCAGCGAGCCAGAAATGCGGTTAATTTTATTATATTCTGGTAGTTTTGACCATACTTTTTTTTTTCTCAGTGAGCTTAGTTTCATACTAAGCATAATCATTAGGGGCAAAGTCCCGGAGTTCGGGATCAGGTTGGCTAGGTACATATCACAGATGTAACTTTGTATTCAGAACTCTAAATAATAAAGTGAGTTTTAAATTCTAAATACCCAATATAAGTTATTACAACTATTACAAATTTATAGTACTAGTGGCAACCTTGTAAAAACTATTCTTGACTTTTAAAGTATTTTCAAAAAGTCGACTATATAAATAAAATGTTTCAGGATGTTGTTGTTGCTATCGTAGGCGATTAAAGTATTGGGGGTGCGATTGCTCTTAATTTTCAGTGGCGCCATCTTTGGCCAAAATCCTGAACCAGAGAACAATCAGTCTCCAATTCAGTATCCCCAGAGGTACAATTTGTTATGGGAACATGGAGGACTTTGTAACCCAACAGATTTAACGCATATCTGTCACCATTTACTACATGGTGAGTCTTCGGTCGACTGGATTCGAAGTCCAGCACCCTGACAACCAGTCTATACCGGTCCAATGTTTCAAGTGATTTATGCAAGTTGACGATATCACATTGTGAATTTATTTTGAATTATAAATTTATTCCTTTTAAGAAAAACAATACTCATAAAAAAAGTTTGAAAAATTGAATTATTTTCGTAAACAAACGAGCTGTATCTATTTTCTTAAACGCGCATTTTAAGTTGAGTCCATTTTCACGAACACTGATTTCAACTTGCTTCCAGATTTTAAAAACAAACCGACGTGTGAGCTTTATTATTTTTTACAGTGTAATGTATTTCCAAGTATCATGATTTGACACTACTTAAAAATTTTAAAAAATGTCGAAGTTTAAAAATTTAAAATAGATTTCTAATTTTAAAATAATTTAGTGCGAAAAAAATTAAGACATTATTAAAAACATGAGACATAATTAAAAACATCTATCTTATATTAGAATAAAGTTCTTGTTTTGCGTAAGAATCAATCAATTTTCATTTTTTATGAGAATTTTTACAAATACAACAATCTTTTTGGCATTTTTCCATGAATTTTATTTAAGAAAATCGCTACCTGTTACAGTGTTGAATACATGAAAAATTGCAGCATAGCCTTGACATGGTTCACTAATTTAGGATGTATTTGACTAAAGGATGTCTACTAAACTAGCTCAACCTCTAGAACCATTAAGATTGAATCCTAGAACTTGAAGATCCGATCATTAGATCAAAATTATTCGAAGTAGTTCATTCTTTTTCTTTTTTGAGCATTGCACACTATAAAAACGTCAAATACAATATTTTTTGTTGGAAAAACTTCGTAAACATTTATTCCTATAAAAAAAATATGTACTGCTTAATGTTATCTTCCCAGAGAATATGAAGAGGACGGAAAGTTGTGGGTTCAATGTGTATCTAGAACACCGGCCACCAGACTGGACGTTATAAATCTTGCGGAGAAATTGGACACAAGGCTCATTGAAAGAAATGCTCGAGAGATAGGAATCTGTCCAATAAGACGAGAACTCTATGATCAGTGTTTTGGTTTGTATCTCTCTTTTTTCTTTACAACAAATGAATTCAAATGCATAGAAAGAGTAAGATTTTTGTCGCTAACTGAAAGTTTCGAATATAACAACAAACATTATACATTTTGCACATTTATTGGGAATACATCTGTCTCATGATCTGTCACACGCCAACTACGATTGCCAATGTGCTAAATAAATTTTAAACAGTTTTAAAAAAAACATGCAGAGGTTTACCCGTAGGTGACTATGAGTTTAAACCCTTCGGGCTTATGACTTAGGTGATTATTAAGCCGCATATCACGATGCGGAAATCTTCGTCGCTTTTTTAATTCTTTCTAAACTTGTTTAGAAACGACGCAATTATTATGTATTTTCTTAACTTCCATTTGTACTAGTCGAAGACTCTTTAACTGACTTACTATAAACTGAATTTTTAGCATTATTGTTTTTCTCCTTCATTCTCTAACAGAGTCTTGAGTTATCTAAAATATATGAATAGTGACGCAAGCAAAAGGTACGTAAAAATTTCTTTTCTAATTTTTTGACTTGATAATTTTTTAATCCTTATTCATGTAAAAAAGATTCGAAAATCGTTACAATGGAAAACAGAATTTATGGTTTAGGGACAAAATCTCCAAAGCCAAAATGTTACTTATACAAAATCACGCAAAGTCAAAATCTCGTAAACAAAATCTCGCAATGTCAAAATCTCGAGTAAAGAAGTTTTCACAAGGTCAAACTCTCGTGTGACAAAACTCTTGCTAGGTCAAAATCTTGCGTGGACATAACAATTAATAAAATTAACATGCGTTGATCATTATTAATTTTACAAACATTACGTCTTTCAAAAATGTATCTCTCTCAATTTTCATGGACTTGAAACCAAACACGGAGCCATTGCAAATTATGAACAATATCATGTAAATAGTCCTCCATTCTTCTGCTGTTGTAATCTTTAATTTAATTTAGCTCCTGTAACTCCCCTTTTTTAATTTTCTTACTTAAAAAACTGTTTTGTAATTAATCAGAAAAAATAAATATCTTTACAATGTTTTTAGGTTTAAAAAAAATAATATAGGTGAAAAGAAGTTAAAGTTAGATTGGTTTTAACTTGTTTACAAGTATAATGTATAATAGTAGATTTTGAATACTCTAATCACATAATACTGCGACAAAAAAAACTGTCTTACTTAAATTTGTCATACTTCTTTGCAACACCTTTATTACAACAGAAAAAAAGAACCGAAGGAGATAATGTGATATTAGAAACGAAGAAAAATTAGAACAGCCAGTGATCAGAGATTGGACATGGAGACGTTTGTCTAAGAGAGAAGACTTGTTTATTCCTCATAGAAAGATATTTTGTTAAAAGAAGTGGCTGTTGTGTAATTTTAGATCATCAAAATTAGCTTCTAATAAATTATTTCGCTTTATCTTTGGAATGCGATCAAATGATTAAAAAAGAACTTAATAATAACTAACTTCTTCCTTTCTTCTCCGGCGTGCAAATTAAAAATCCGAAAGGCTGATTCTTACACAAGTGACGCATTTTACGTTTTCTTGGCTGTACTAAATCAATTTCCCAAACAACCACCAATTCAATCAGCAGAAACTTAATTCGACTAAGTAAATATAAATTTATCACATCGAAAACGGAGGAAAAAATATACAATAACCATTTCAATACATTCAATTTTTTGAAAATTACAAAATAATTAGTAGATATTACTTACTATTAGACTTTTCTGTGAGAAATGTTCGGTGAGTTATAAATATATCAAATATCGCATACCAATTTTAATGATACCTAAATTCACCAAACAAAATATTATCCTTTATCCATATAGATGAACTAATTCGCCAAGAAACACTAAATTGTGTGGAGAGAGGACTACTTTTCGTAAGAGTAAGGGATGAACTTAGAATGAGTTTGGCTGCTTACGAAGCACTCTATGACAGTGGTGTTGCCTTTGGTATCAGAAAAGCACTACTCTCTGAAAGAGGAAAAGTGGACATTGTAGATAAAGTAAGTCTATTTTTATTCAAATACAGCAGTAATTAAATAATTTTATTTGAAACGAGCGCTCAGGGAAAGTGAACACAACTTCCAATCAGATGACCCAGGCAAAGAATAAGGGAAGAAGACTGTTTTCCATAGACATAATGTAAGCCAATCTACCATGGTTTGGTGCCGTCTTTGTGTATAAAGGTGGAAACAACATTTAGAGGCACCACTACTTGGGTTGGGGAGGAGATGAAAAGTCTCTCTCTTTATTTATTGTTGGTTTGTTCTCATATTTGTCCTTATTATAAATAGTAGTGTACTATTAATTAAGATATTTCTTTGAGATTAAATTTATATCACCAATGTTGATTAAATCTGCTAACATAATTTGAGATAGGAAGAAAGAATAAAATTGCGGTTAGTGGAAGACAGCGTACGCAACCATACATGTAGAGTTTTCCAACAACCAGTTTACAGGTGACGTACCTCCTGACTTTTACTTTGCTTCCTGTCCTCATGCGTCATATCTTGGTAAATCTGATGCTCGGCTATATCTGAGTACATTGCCCGCCCTGTAAGTTGTTTTTCTGGTATAGCATATCGCACCGACAAATTAGTTACGTATTCGAAGAGTTGGACTTCTTCTCATTTCTAGATTCCTTATTTGTACATAGAACTGACCACAGTGCTGATGAAAATTGTTTTGAGTTAATGTTGTATATAGAAACGATTTTTAAGTCCAATAAATAAATAACTATCGTTATAAGAATCGTTATCGTTATAAAGAAACTGTCGTTAGTGCTCGGAAACTCATATTATTCTACTAATGTTAGCTTTTTTTCAAATTCATCTGAAACTCATCAAAAATTGAAATAAACTTCAAGTTTGTTTGAAAGTCGTTTCATTAACTATTTTTTTTTACTCATTACTTTTCCCACAATCTAACAAAGAAAATTTGTCTCACACTTTTAATCAGTTAGAATTTCTTACTGCTGAAAATGAAGATCTTAGGAGGCAGTTAAAACTTCTGGAAGCTCGCCATGGTCTTTTGCAAAGAGAATGGGAACAATGCTCTGCTGTTGAAAGTAAAAAACTCAACGACAAAATTGAACTGTTGGAAAGAGCCAATTCCCAATTAAAGGTATTCTTTTCTGTTACTTTTTTAACTGAATCAGTATCTTTTGACCTAAGTTACTTTTTTGTAATCTATTTAACGATAAATATAACAAATTAAGATAAAAATTTAGATCTTTTAGAAAAAATTCCATTTCGAAATTTTTTATAAAATAAGGAGCATCTGATTTAAGATTTTTAAAACTCTAAATTAATTTCAAAAATGCAACTATATTACTAAAGATGGTTTTATTCAAGGAGTATTTCGATACTTATGATGGATAGAAATCGCTTTGTCGTATATGGTGCGAAAATAATTTGAGTTTCTTTAAAAATTTCTTTTTTTTTTTCTAATTTCGAAAATGTTAAAGGTAAACGTTTTTTTACTCATTTATACAATGTTGAAATTTGATATTTATCATTTTATCATCGAAATTTTATTAGGTGTTCGGTTAGCAGTGCAGCAATATTTGTGCCTATGGTATTGACATTTTATTTAGTTAACGCATAACTGTCAACCATTTTTTTGGGGATGACTCTTAAATTATAATAACAACCTCACATGAATTACTTTATCGACTTAACTTCGGCATTAACCATGTTTAAGTCATTTTTTCTTCTAAACTTTATCAAAGGATCGATTTTTAATGAAGCTTTTTATCTAACTCTTTTCAAAAATAGTTTATTTTCTTTGCTATGACGAAAAGAAAAATATTAAAATTGTCAATCATTTATCAATTCATTTACACGCATTCAACTAATACTTTAGTAAATCAGCTAATGAAAAAATACTTTACAATTACAATACAATTGAAGGAATACTCTATTTAAATCTCACATAATTGTTCATATAGACAGTTGATATTATTATTACTAAAATCCCTAAATGGTACGAATTTTTTACAATAAAACAAAATGCTCCCAAAAAAGTTTTTTTTATTAATTTTTAAGTTGATATTTGACTTTATTTAATAATAATATATATTAATAGGTAAAGCATCAATCATTAGTAATACAAGTTTTTGAAAATTGCGATTTGGACATTAATGTTTTTAGAAGATTTCATAGTAAACTTCTTATATTAGACATCTAACATTTAAGGATATAAAAACATTAAAGGGTTTACAATTAAATTCACACCTGAAAAAAAATTTTATTGCTAACAAAAATTATTATAGTATGTACTTTCAAATGAAGAAAGGGTTAACTTCGTGTTATGTATAAATAAAACTAAGCGAAGAGAAAAGAGCACAAATGATGCCACGTAAGCAGACCTACATAGTTTTAGCTCTATTATAAAGAACTTTCTTCAATGTCGAAACACAAGTGGAAAAAATGAAACTCAAAGATGCTGAAAAAAATTACAAACAAGTTACAACTAGGAAAAAAGAAGTTGACTTCAGTGGTTGAAAGAACAAATTTGACAAAAATAACTAAGCAAGTGAAGAGAGACAAGTATATGATGTGGTTGGGATAGCGTGAGAATCCCAGTTATAACAAGATTTAGAAACTAAGGAAAATGAATTTCCATTCACTTTGAAAGAGTGGAATACTAGCAAGGTAATTGACAAAATTATTAAAGTTTATAAAGAAATGAAATAATTACCTGAAACCTAGGTCAGTGATTGAGAAGCAATGTTGAACGATTTTAGAGCATTCTCAGAAATAAAATTCTCACTTTGGACGATTTAACACTCCTTGAACTACATTTCGTTAATTTTGATAATCATTTTATCGCGAAATCACGTGATTTGTGACGAAACGTGAACTCTCAAATCTATGACGAAAGTGTTTCCTCGTCTCGAAACCTCATCGTAGTGCATTGTGAGAGAGTGTTAACTAGAATGACGAAATTAGAAAGAGGAATAAACAATCGAAAATGAAGAGACAGAACAAGCGGAACTGCTTCAATGGTGGTCAAGGAGTTGACCTCGGATTAGAAAGATTAAAGGTTCGAATCCGGCTTCGGACTTGAGTTTAATTTATTTGTCTGTTCTATCTGCCCTTCTGGTGTTGTTCAAACGATATTGATCCACCTATATAGTGCCCACGATAAAACTATTATTAGAAAAGTGAGGTACATTAGGAGCTATAAGTTTTCTTATTTCTTTTTTAAATAGAATGACGAAATATTTCTGTAATTTTGACGAAATTTGCTTACTTGAACACGTGACGGCAGTTATTTCGTCCCCTTGATGAAATTTTTGCTCGTAACATATAAAAGAAAATGGTTTTGTCAGAAACGAAGAAAGTATCGTGAAATTTGAGTATCCATTTCTAACATTGCATAAGAAAACTTAAACCTATGATTAGAAGTTCAACTAAATAGAATAGAAGAAGATCGTTTAATATCTTAATCTCTTTACTGTACTTAAAATCAAAGTTTAAAGGTACTTTTACGAGGGTTGCTATTTATATTTCTGGCCTAATAGTGAAAAAACAAATATGTAGGATCGAAATTGGTTTTATTGTTTTTCAAAATATTCTCCATGATGAAATATTCTCCAATACACTTTTGCATGCGTTTGAACCAATTTTCAAAGCACTTTTTCCAGTCCGATTGAGGTAACTCAAAAACATGCGTTTTGAATGCATCAACCGCTTCTTCGGGGGTCGAAAATCGTTGTCCACGTAATTTATTTTTGATGTGTGGGAATAAGAAGAAGTCATTGGGTGCCAAATCAGGGCTGTACGGCGGATGACCCATCAGTTCGATCTTTCGCTCCGTCAGAAATGCCTTTGTTTGAGTCGATGTGTGAGAGCTCGCATTGTCATGATGAAGAATGATTCGCCTGTTCTTCTGCTTTTTTCGAATTTCTCCGATGACTTCTGGCAAACAAATGGTCGTGTACCATTCAGAATTGACCGTCCTGCGTTGCTCTAACGCCACTGTTGCCACATGACCGTTAATGCCGAAGAAACAGGCAATCATTTGTTTCGATGTGCTTCTTCCTCGAACAACTTTTGTTGGTTTTGCCTCGTCTTGGAAGACCCATACAGTTGATTGCTGTTTTGTTTCCGGCTCATATGCATAGATCCATGATTCGTCACCTGTGTAGATGTTATACACAGCCTTTGATGTACCTTGAACGTATTTTTCCAACATTTCCTTGCACCAATCGACACGAGCCTTTTTTTGAGCGTTTGTCAGATTATGCGGGATCCAACGCGAACAAATTTTTTTTACGCTCAAATGTTCATGCAATATTTTATTGATGCTAGTCATACTAATGTCCAAAGACGCCTCTATCTCACGGTATGTCACATGACGATCTTGCTTTATCAGTTCACGCACAGCATCGATCTTTTCTGGCACAACAACGGATTTTGGACGACCTGCACGGGATTCGTCCTGGATCGAACATCGACCACGATTAAATTCGTTATACCAATTTTTTACAGTGCTGTAGGATGGCGCTTTATCGCTGAATAAAGAATTAAGTTCATCGAAGCACTCTTGTCTTGACAATCCACGTCGAAAGTTATGAAAAATAATGGCACGAAAATGTTCACGATTCAATTCCATTTTTTGAAAGAGAAGAACTTTTCAATTTACTGTCAACAACACAAATGAAGCTATAATGGTAAATCGGCTGCTGAATTTATGTTTAAAAATATCAAACTTTCGATTAAAATCGTCTGCGGTCGCCTAGCAACACTTACTGTTGCCAAGGCCAGAAATATAAATAGCAACCCTCGTATTTTGTTCAAGATCATACTAATAAGAAAATTGGCAAATACCCCAGCAATTAAAGTCAGCAATAGGGACTTTAAAATTTTTAAAATTCAGTTTCTTGTCAAGAAAGAAAACAGCTGTAAACTCAAATTTGTTCAAAAGTTCAGCAATGTGGGAACAAATTCTAGGAAAATAAGTCAAAGCATTTAAATTATTAAAGTTCAAATTAGAGAATTCGTTGGATTGCGTGATAAGTTTTCATTAGGATCAGTCAAATATATTAGAATGAAACCACGGGTAACAGTGATGGCTTTAACCTTTCAAGGGTGGTTTATAAAACTGTCCCACTTATTTTGAACAAAAATATTAAAGACGAAAATGGTAATAGTTTTTATCTCTTAAACAGCGCGGTTTTTAATCAACCACTTTTTATTTTGAAAAACGTTAAAATAAAGCAAATCACTTCATTTTAAGCATACATACGACAACAATTCTCTTGGCCTTAATTCTTATCAAATTTTTCTTCAAAAATTCTTGATTAAATTTTTTGATTAAAATTTTTCCCCGTCAAAGAATTAAAATGAAAGAGTTCGTCATTAAGGTAATTAGTATTAGAAAAATTTTAAAGGCTTGGAAAACAAGCGTGTGTATGTATTTACTGCTCGCAGAAAAAAATTCCGGTTAAATTACCGTACTCTATAGTAATAACACTTTAGTAAAAAAAAAGATAATTCTGGTTAATAAAACCAAAATATGCGGTATTTACACCATTCATTAGGTAAATTTTCCATTCATACGGCAACGGTTTACCGGAAATTCTGGTTTTTAAAATTATATTTCCTATTACCACACATTTAATAAAAAATACAGAACTTAAAAGCAAATTTAACCGATTAAATGGTGCTAATGCCATTCTCTAAAGTATCATGAAAAAATTACCATATTTTATCACATATTATAAAATTATATTTTATCGTTAATTTTACAAAAAACTCTACCAAAGCGATTAGGTAATAATAACCCAATCACAATTGTTCATTCACATATCATCTCTGTATTATATTTAAAATGTATTTCTCTCCTTACACACAAGAAACCTCCCTAACACAAGAAAAGAAATCAAATTAGCATTCACGACTTGCCCTTTACCCCGTCGTGAAAATAGAAGATATTGAATGCACGCTGTTTAACATTTTTATGTACATGTACTTGACTTCGCCAGATAGGTGGATTAGCCATGTTAATAATCGAAACGTCGTAAAAATTACTAAAATATATTCAACTTTTTTCCAAAAAAAAATACCATTACAGTTAAATTCGACGCACAACTTACGCTTAATAGGTTTTAATAC